TGTTAGTATGTATGTTTTGAAACCGGGATGTTAGTGACTGTTTTGTATTGTACCGAGGATGTTAGTGACGTAGGTTTTGTTGAGGAATTTATTGACGGTATTTTTTTTTACCGGGGGTGTTAGGGACGGTATTTTTGGAAACCGAGGATGTTTTTGACTGTATGTATTGTACTGGGTTGTTAGTGACGTTGTATTGTCTGAGGATTTGGGTGACTGTAGGGGTATTGTCCCGGGGATGTTAGTGACTGTATTATTGTACTGAGGATGTTAGTGACTGTTTTGTTTTTTGTACTGAGGATTTTGGGGGACTTTTGGTTTTGTCCCGAGGATTTTAGTGACTGAAATTTTTGACTGAGGATTTTTGTGACTGTATGAATTGTATGAGTTTGTTAGTCCGTATGAATTTCGAGGGGTTAGTGACTGTATGTTTTGTCCCGGGGATTTTTGTGACGTAGGGTATTGTCCCGGAGGATGTTAGTGACTGTATGCATTTTTCCGAGGATGTTAGTGACTGTATGTATTGTACCGAGGATGTTAATCATGGTAAAAATGTTATAGTTACAGTTGTTGTTGTAACAATATCAACATTCTTCTTTATTTCTTTTCTTGAAATATTGTATAAAATTTTCGCCTCTGGTCCTCGTTCTCCTTCATTGTTGCAATTTAGACCATATATTAGAAAGTTGCTTATCTGACAGACATCTAGACACTGACAGCGTCAGACAGCCAGTCACTAAGTACACACACACACACACACACACACACACACACACACACACACACACACACACACATATATATATACATATTTACAAATAGTGTCTTGCTAGGAGCACCTCTGGGAAGCAATGCCATTGACACAATTCTCAGGAAGAAATTGGAAGAGTTAAGGAGAATGGAACAACGAATAGGTAATCTGGACACCCACGATGCCTTGTACCTTCTCACAAAGGGCTTGAGTCTGCCCAGGTTTACATATTTCCTAAGATGTGCACCTTCATATAATAACCCTATACTGCACGAATATGACAGTATTCTGAGGCAGATTTTTACGAAAGTACTTAACCTTACTCTAGAAGACGGGCAGTGGACCAAGCTACACTTCCAGTCAGACTAGGAGCATTGGTGTCCGCAAGTCATCACAGATTCCGTTCCCTGCTTTTCTGTCCTCGTGTATTGCATCCAGAGAGCTTGTAGCAGCGATTCTCCCTGAAATCTTAGGGACAAGTTTGGAGTCCAGGACCAAAGTTCATTGACGGAGCCATGATCGGGGATAATCTAACGGGCTCTGAAACCAGCCCCTTTTCCCTCCAACAACTAAAAAACAATCGCACTGGGATGGCCCATAGTGGAAAAATATAGCCTCAACAATGCTTCAGAGTGTGTCGGGGAAAGATAGAGCCCGCCTCCTGGCAGTGGGGAGCCCCTCATGCTGGGGACTTTCTGTTGGCTGTTCCCAACTCCAGCCTTGGCATACGCCTCGACCCACAGACCACCCGAATGGGTGTTACCCTTCAAACTTGCCTCCCCTTTCTCGCCGAACACAGGTGTATTTGTGGCAGTGAAGCGGGCAGACCGATTGGGGTACCACGGTCTTGTGTGCCGTAAATCCGAGGGAAAGATTGCAAGACATGAGGAGGTTAAAAAACAAATTTTCAAGAGGAGCCTCACAACAGCTGGGGTGCCCAGCAGTAAGGGGCCACCCCAACTATGCGATTCTGATGTCAGCCAGAAGCGTCCAGATGGTATCACCCTTCAAGCCTGGATAGATGGGAAGCAAAGGTGGTGTGGGACTATACATG